CCACATACCGACCCAAACGCCAACCACGCCCGCCCGCCCACACTTGGACGATCCTATCTGAGGCGTTGCTTCATTTGCCAACTGAAACATGAAGCAAAGGTATTGGTATGAAGCGGCTGCGGTGCTGCATGGATATATCGTCTACGGAAAACTCGTATAAAATTGCTTTTTATTAACGAAGGTCTTCATTCGCAGTTTTCCACCGTTTCACTTCGTTTTTTCGCCATTTTCCTACCATATAGCGTCCTGCTGGGCAGAATACCAAATTATCGTGCCAACTGCCTTCAAGTACAGTGATGCGCAACACGAGGAAGCCACATTGGCCACACGAATCGCAGGTCTTTTTTAGGTGGCCTGTATAAGCCTAGCTGAGCACCACTCGATGCCCCCACCGAGCCTGTTGATCCCCAGCTCTTGCTGTCACTAAACTACAATTTCATTTCACCGTCACTAAGAAGCGGTGGGGTCTTGGTCATCTGTGTATTCTCTCACCGCACCATGGTCCACTTATTTCTACAGTCAATTCCTCTCCTCTGTGATGCTCATCTAGTGCTCAGAACTCACAGGGTTCTTATTCTGAGCGTGCACTGGGGACGAGTTGTACGACCTGGAGTACGCGTCGCATGCGTTTCGCACGTCATCTACTACCGCGCAATAGGACCGTCTCTGATATTTGTGGCACTGAGGTGGCACACAAAAACCCCCATTTCTCTGATCTTCCACTGCGGTTGTTTCTTCACCGTCGCACCATTTAACGCCTCTGGCTACTTTTTAGGCCAGAAACCAAGTAAATACACCCACTGCCCTTCACCTACCTTTTTGTCAGGAACTCTTAGTGCTTGTGGAATCGTCGTGGGCTTGATCGTTGATGCAGTGTTGGTGTTTGCGTTCGCTTCGCACTCATCGTCGCTGTCCGATGAGTCCTCTTCCTCAGTTGCACAGGACTAGACCAATTTCGATACTTTATATATTTTTTGTTTTTTTTGTTATAATTTTTCATAGCTTGAGGCAATATTGTGAATGTGCTCACCGAGTCACCCTCAGCTGACATGGCCTGTATAGCAGGCTACTTTCTTTTTAGCTTTTTTGTTATCTCTAATATCTTTCTTCTTGCCTTTGTCTTTCTTCGCTTTGTCCTTCGAGGCTTTCTTTTGTTCTGGTTTTCCTTTTTGGTTTTTTCCAGAGAGTTTGCTCTTGGGATTTTGCTTCTTTTTAAGCTGCAACATGTAGACCCAGCTTTAATTTTTCAAACCCAGGCGGTACACAGCGCGACTACGATACGTCATTTGCTTGTCTTTGCTTCTCACGGAGCAGTGTCCAGAACAGTTCTGAGGAGGAGCGTAGGTGTGGCGCAGGACCATTACCTGGTAACGCAAGTCAAATGGCAGCCGGTACCCTCCTATCGCGCCATACTCTCCTCTACTGGAAGCTGGTGCACTCGTGCAGACGCTAGATCGATACCTAGCCCTCGAGACGCTAATAGACACCGGTACGCTGGTATGCGCTGGCGGACGCTATTGGTCGGTGGTGCAGGCTGCAGCGAAGTGTGAACGCAGCTTGAGTGGCTTACCAAGCCCAGCGTCCCAAGGGACCTCCGCTGAAAAACTATGAACGTATGTTTCTTTTTTGGGCATATTGCCAGTGCTATGGCAGCTGCAAATAAATTGTCTTGGCGCTACAGAGTTTTCGCTAAAGGACGCGTGGCTCTAAGTTCAGGTAGGCCATTCAAACCGCCTTCTTCCCCTTGCTCTTCCAACCTTGCTTAATTTATCGCGAGCTATTTATAGTGGTAGTTATCGCAGACGGTTTGGGCCGTGTTCGTGCGGGGCTGCATGGGGGCCAAGAAGTCGTTCTGGCACGAGAAGTTAAAGCGAGCAAAATGACACATATTGTTTCATACCTTTCGTATTACTTGTTTTCTATTTTCTAGCTGGCTTTTTGTCGTGCATGCGCCATTTTCAACAAGAAGGCAGAGAAACAGCTCAAGGAGGTAACACACTCATACTGCTGACAACGCCACTGTCCGCAGCGCAGTAGAGTTTAGATCTGTGACTGTATGGAATTTGGCATGAAGCCAATCTTAGAGCCTTCTAGGCACAAAAGTTCGCCATTTTCACGAACGCAGTGATCCGCCATACTGTTCTGTAGTACTATAGTTACTTACCGAGCCAGTTGGTTTTCCACCCTTCATTTGGGTTTACTTCGAGTAGTTATAGCAAAAGAATGAGACCTACTCTACTTGCGCACTATTAGTGATATCACTTATCAACTACTGCTACAGTACTCCAAAGTCATCCGAACGAGCGCATACTGTAGAGCATCATTGGAGCTGTGTATGGTTATAAAGAAGAAAACCGCTCTTTATCGTTCTAAATACGACCCCTGTTTCCCTCGTTGAGCACTTCCTCAAGGATGTTGTGGGCTGACTGCACAGAAGTCGCGAACAATGAACGCTGTTTATCGCTGCGCTAATACTTTGCACTCGAGCCATTCAGACCTGCCGCTACCAAATAGCGTGATTGCGGCTGATCACGCTCATCCGCTAGATCCTGAACCGCTGCAACTGCCAATATGACCACAGTCGTCTTAGACTTATTTCAAGCTTTGCAGTGATTCAATGATTAGCGGTGTAGCGTGATGGTCGTGGCGAGGGCTCTGACCCGACCGGCGCGTGACTAAGTCGCCTGAGTCGCAAACTATGAACGCAGCCTAATGAGTATTTGGGCGTGAGGGAACAGTTTTTTCAAACTAGGCTATCCGAGACCGCTGGGTGGCGCTCCTTCCACGGTTTCTTGTTCAGGTCCAGATCATCCTTTGATCTGGACCTGAACAAGAAACAGAGCAGAGTAGAGCAGTCGTTTTTCATGTATC